GCTTCTTACTAGCTAGCTCTTACAACTTAACTCAGCCCATTTCTATTAGTCTCTGCATTGCCATGTGGCTTCATGGAGTTAGCTGTTCTCTCACATCTTGCCTCTCCTGGCAGTGGCTCACAGTGTCCCCTGACTCCACCCTTCTTCCTCTCCATCTCCAGTTTGAATATACTGCCTATTCTTATTCTGCCTCGCCATTGGCCAAACAGCTTTATTATCAACCAATGAGAGGCACATATATTCATAGCACACATATGTCATAAAGAAAGACATCCCAGGCTGGAGAGATGGCTCAGTGGTTAAGAGCACTGGCTGTTCTTCCAAAGGTCCTGAGTTCAATTCCCAGCAACCACATGGTGGTTCACAATCATTTGTAATGAGATCTGGTGCCCTCTTCTGGAATGCAGGCAGAACACTGTATACATAATAAATAAATCTTTAAAAAAAAAAAAAAAAAAAAAAGACATCCCACAGCATTTGTCCTTTTCTGTCTAATCAAAAAGGAAGGTTTTAACTTTAATATATAATTATATATAACAAAACAGTTATCAAGCAAGAATTACAGTTATAATATGTAGTCTATTTGTATTTGGCAAAATTAAAGAAAATATTCTATCTATCCTATTTTTGTGAGTCTAAAGTTTTATATCTAATTTACATTTTATCATGATTAAGGAAAACTATAATTAGAACTATCTAGTCTTCAATTCCATTAAAGACCTCATAAGAATATATATATAATATTACCTGAGTAAACAGGAAGTGCATTATAAGCAACTTGCAAATTTCTAGAAATGTGAGAAACAGCTGGCTGCCTAGACAACTACCCAAAGTTCCTCTGCAACATTGGGGCATCCATCTTCAGCCTACAGGCCTAAAATCCCTGGCAGATATTCAGTAAAGCAGGAAATTTGAAGGATTGTCTCACCTATTGGCAAAGTTTATCAGTCACTTTCTTCTGTGTCCTGCAGAATGTCTGGCAATATCTCCCGTGAAGCAGAAACCTGAAGGACTATCTCACCTTGTTTTGGCAAAGTTCGGTGGTCATTTTCCCATGGGTCTTATACATCCAGTTTATACAAGATATTGTTAAGCAGTCCAGGCAAGAGCAGATTCTTGCCCACATGGCCAGTTTTGCCAAGAAGAAAATAAACTCCATATGAAGTGTCTTCAATGCCCATCTTCCTCTTTATAATTAATCAGTGCTGCCAGGAGCAGACACATCTCATTGTCCAGAAAAGTCTAAATTTTTAAAACATTTTAAATGCCATATTCTGTAGGTCTTTAAAGTGTTTGAAGATTACCTATCTAATTGAAATATATCAATGTATACCTAGTAAACTTAATTAATATGACTATAAGTTTAATTATCATAGATGACTAATTATTATCTGTATTTCCTAATTATATATTACAATTTAAAATGAGTTGCAAAAACAAAATACCTTAAACAAAAGTAGAAATATATATACAGTATAACAAAATTAACTTTAAATTTGTACCAATTAACTAAAATCCACAGCAATGTAAAATATTTCAAATAAGTTGTTATTTTTAAAAGTGGATTTAATAATCTACCCTTTTATTCTATCATGTCTATATCCCCTTTTCTTTAGAAAGAGATTGCATTCATAATCAATCCCCTTTAAATAAAAATAAACATTTATAAACAATTCATACTACTTCCTGCTGATTGGGGGCACAGGTAATCTTAGGGGAATCCTGAGAAAATTTGAGATAATGGTCAAGTCCTGGGAAGACCAGCTATAACCTTTATTGATAGATACCATCTATCAAGATTCAAGAAGTCTCGCTTGATCAAATCTGATCCACCTGAACCTGGAACAAATCCACAGCCTCTTGCTTCCTATAGAAACAAAAGCAGAGCATACTTTCCAAAGCAACATATCCTTAGATACAAATTTTGAAGTCAAGATACCTTTAAAATATATATATTGGTTTAACTTAGCAGCCTTTATACAATCAAAGGTCTTTTTGCAGTTATCTCATTAACAGACAAAAAAAATGAAGAAAATGTAATGTATATAATCTAGACTTTCTGTATAATTTCCATCTTTATGTGGCTTTTTTATATATTATTTTATTTTTTAAGACTTTATTTTATTTTTATGACTATATCATTTGTCTTCTCTCGCAAGCCTATGTACCTTTTACATACATTGTAAACCATTTAGAGGTTTATTCCATCTGAATCTGTCTTATTGTGTACCTATAATCTTTTTTTGGCCAGGAGAAATTTTAAACTGTTCAGCTGTGTGACTAGGATGAAAGATGCAGCTGTGGTTGCTAACTCCACCACCCTCAGCTTCCCAATATGGCAGACATACATTTACCACCAGCTCTGGGAGCCATGCTCACCGCTGACTATGAGAAGCAGTGGGTCAATGCTTCCATTGAGCAACGTGTAGCCCAGAAATCTCTTTTATGTGTGTGTGTGTGTCTGTATTAGTAAAAGCTAAATCCACCATGCAGTGCACTGCATGGCTTGGAGACAGCTCTGTGTACTGTGGCAAGAATCCACCATTGTGCTCAAGCTCAAATACTAGAGTGTCTCCGTACAACGGCATCTCTGTACCATGGTCCCCATGAGACATACGAACTAGGAAGCTGTTCTTAACTCCGTTTTAATAAGTTCTCTCAGGTTTTAGGTGGAAACTCTTGCCATCACCTTTTGGTGCCAGCAATGTGTATAGTATAAATATAATAATCTATTAAATATTGTCATAATTTTAAGCACCCAATTATTTCTAAAATATTGTACAAGCATGTTCAACATTAAAATCCATCCAAGTACACAAGCTACCCAATCCACACAATCACTTTGAAACCTCTTGAAGGAGTAACAGCATCATTCATAAACCTCTACCTATTAGATTATGATTTTTTAAAATTAGACCGGACACAGTACCATGTACTTCCGACATTTAAACTATCAATGGAGAAACATTATGCTTATTTGCTGAGCAAAGCTGATAGAATTACCCACTAATTCTGGTAGATCTCCATATACTAGTGAAACCAATACAAATATGTCTCAGGTATAATGAACACGATTATGAATTTTGAAATAAATGCCAGAACAATCAACAGGTTAACATCAATAAGATCATTTTAGAACAATGGAAAAAATAAAGAATTTTCCTATAAAACTGAAGCAAAAGGAATAATAAACTTTAATGACAGTATGCATAGAAGAAAATTAATTCTGTAACATTTCAAAAGAGCATTTTCTCTGATAATAGGCTTAATAAAAGTCTGAAATGCATGTATAAATGTTCTGTGAGTTATACAATACTTGTTCCCTGTCATAGAAAACGGAAAAATAACACTTGACAAAGTATCAGATGTTAGAGAAAATACATTTCAATAAAACATATCACCACTAAATATATTAGTAAGAAATGTGGAAGGTAGTTACTTGGTGCACACAGAGTCACAGCAATCCCAATCAATGCTATCACTGTTGCTAATGCTTTATACAAACTTTAATGCAGTCTTAGCATTTCTTACCATACCTTTGGATAATAAATACAGCCAAAAGAAAGGACACAAACAAAATGATATTTTAAAAGGTGTGAAAATATATATGTACGTGTGTGACAGTGTATGTGCGTATGTGCGTGTGTGTGTGTGTGTGTGTGTGTGTGTGTGTGTGTGTATGTGTGTGTGTGTGTGTGAGTGAAAGAAGATTGCCACATGTTTATGTTACTCTTAAAGATGGACAAGCAAGTATACCCTGTTAAGTAAAGGCTTACCTTTTGGTTACAACATTGCCAAGGGAAATCCTGTTATCTGTTTCACTTCATGAAGTCACATTAGCCAAGTCGCTGTGCCGCGTTAATAGTAACTGAAAGGCTACTAGTCCTTAGCCTTTCCTTCACTAACAGCAGGTTTGTTTGTTTGCTTGCTTTATCTTATTCTGTTACTGTTGTTTTCCTATCTGGCCTTGCTATATGAGTATATGCACATACACATGCCGAGCAGTTACCTACTATGTATCAGACCTCTGTGCCTCATCTGAGACATGAAAAGACAACCAAGGTGTAATATGGGTGGATGCCTGTGGAGGTCAGAAAGGGTTGGACCTCCTGGAGCTGGAGTTACAGGCAGTTTGTGAGCAGCCTGATGTCAGTGCTGGGAACCAAACTGGGGTCCTCTGGCAGAGCAGCAAACGCACTTAACCACTGAGCCATATCTCTATCCCTTTGATACTATTTCTTAAATGTAGATGAGGAAATGTAAAGCATGTCACCAAAAAAAAAAAACCAAAACAAAACACTTTAGCCAGGCAGTGGTGGTGCACACCTTTAATCCCAGCACTTGGGAGACAGAGGTAGGTGGATCTCTGTGAGTTCGAGGCCAGCTTTGGTCTAAAGAGCGAGTTCCAGAACAGACTTCAAAGCTACACAAAGAAGCCCTGTCTTGAAAACTAAAATAAAATAAATAAATAAAAAACATGTCACACTATATTTTCATTGTGGAACATGTGGCATCATATCCACAGCAACAACACACTGGTAACAGATACATTAAGTATGCAGAGTATTAGAGAGAACCAAACAAATCAGGCCATAACAGTAGAGCACAGCAGGTAACCATACATACCTGAAATAGGAGCACTCAGGAGGCTGGGGTGGAGGAGGGGATTGGGGAGGGAGAGGAGACAAGGAGGGGGAAGTAGAGGGCAGAGGGAGGACACATAGGAAGGCAGACTCAGTCCCTAAATGTAAACAAACTTAATTGCAAATTCCAAACTAACCTTGCCTCTGAACTCCTACCTGAAAGCCTAGTATGAAATTGAAAACAAATGTCCCCAAGTGTGACTGGTCGGTGGAAATAACAAAAAAATCAGAGCATTCTAATAAACTATCTTTTTTTCTGGCACCAATAAAGACTCAGAATATTCTTTGTTAAGTAGCATCAATGAAGTCCATTTTGAGAGATGAATCCTTTAAATGGGGATTAAGTCCCAAGTTTACCTTTTCCTCTAGTTCCTCCTTCAGACACTGGTACTTCTGCTTCAGTTTCCTGTTCTCGTTTTCATTCTGGGCTAACTCCTCCGTCAGTTTCTCGCACTGGGAGGTCAGCTTCTCCAGCTGACAGCGGTGGGCTTTAGCCATATTCTTGTCTTCCAGGCTCTCCGCCTGAAGGAAAGACGGGGAGAAAAGAGCGAGCTGAGTGGCTACAGCTGAATGACACCATAATCCACAACTGGCACCAGGACACTGCTACAAGAGTTCAGTGCTCTTGTTCACACACAGAAACAGACCACAAAGCAAACATTCATGGGTTCGGAACATCTCAAACACTTGCTAAGTGACAGGTACCGCAATAAGGTGCTGAAGATGACAGATACGAACTATAAGAAAGGCTGAGGAAACAGTCAATTTGACATCAATGAAAGAGAAGTACTTCCTGGGTATTTGGGGCTAACTGCTGAGCGAAGATGGCATTATTACAGAAGATCCCCAAAGGGACACTTCAAGATGAAGCTTTTGACTGCTCAGTCTCCTCATCTACAAAAGGCTTAACTTTCTTCTTTCTCTTTCCTTCCTGGATATTAGGAAAGACTCACACACTTCTCAAACAACGAAACATTAATACTACTCTCATGGGACATAGGACAATCGTATGAATGAGCTGTCCATCACCAGTAGTATAATAAAGTCCCTTCTGATCTACCTGTATTTGGGTATAACCAAACTCAACAGTTTTTTTACTCATTTATTTTTAAGAGTATAATTTAACTGTGTTTCTACCTTCCTGTTCCTCCCTCCAAACCTCCCATAATACCTCTTCCCACTCTCCATCAAATCATGGACTTTTTTCATTAATTGTTATTGCATGCATATAGCATATATGCATTTGTATATACATATATATTCCTAAATCTAACCTGTTGAGTCCATACAATGTTACGTGTGTGTGTGTGTGTGTGTGTGTGTGTGTGTGTGTGTGTGTGTGTGTGTGTTCTCACTGGTCAAGTAATTGGTATGCTCTTCTCTGGGGAGGACCATCATTCCTGCCCCAAGTTTTACTCCATTTCCTGTAGTTCACTGCACAGACTTGAGGCTTTGGGCCTTTTCCCCATCCCAGCTGACATGTTCATTTGGTGTCATCCTTGTTTGGCTCACTCTGGGTGGTCATCAAACTCAACTTTTAAAAGATACATATTAGGGCCCTACAAGTAGCACACAAGTGCATGCATGTGCACACACACACATCATCTTAAAATTTATATGGAATATATATGTATATACAAATGCATATATGCATGCAATAACAATTAGTGAAAAAAAGGCTATGATTTGATGGAGAGTGGGGAGAGGTATTATGGAAGGTTTGTAGGGAGACCAAGGAAAGCCAAAAGAATCCTTAACAAAAAGATTTTGCAGGAGGTATCATCATACATGACTTCAAGTATCAGCAACAGTTTTATCTCCTTTATCTTCTCAACACCATGAGCAGGAAGGTGCTATTACTTGATATTGACTCCTATTTTCAAACTCAAGCTGTTAGAAACTAGAAACTTATGCAGGTATACTGTACTTTGAAGCAGAGAGAGGACCTGAACCCAGGACTTCTTCCTAATATCTGCATTCTCAACAGGAATGCTGCGATAAGGTTTTAAAAGCACCTGAACACAAGTGTCAGTAGTAATGTGAAACACCTACAAGACACTAGCAGTTGACAAGCAATTTCATATAACCTGTTTTAAATATATGTTTTAACACCTAACATGTACTTGCTTTCTTTTCCTTTGTGGTTGGCACTGGGATGCATGGAATACATATGTATGCTAGGCAAACACTCTACCTGAGCTACATGGCAGCCCTGCCTCCTTCATTATGTCTTATACCCATGAATAATTGGGTATGTAGAAATATAATCATTGGAAACAACTTCCTGAAAGAAGTTTTGGGAGTTTTTAAACAAAATCTATATTTTATTTCCTCCACAAAATTTAGCTAAGACCTGATGCCATTTTGAATTAACAAAGGAATTGATTTTTTTATGAGGAATCCTGTATTCATGGTCCCAAAATAAATTTACAAAATAAAGTCTCTCATCAGGAAAATTGCTCAATTACAATTTTAAGTTTCAGTAGACTGCTTTTTACTTTACTTTATGTCCTATAAAAAGCACAGGTGAATAGGAAACTTCTCCTGAAGGTCAGTGACGCCAAGAGCCTGCTCCAAAGACCTCAGGAGACAGCCATACTCTTCTCCCTTCCGCCCCACCTCTGCCCAGTCATGCCTCATTTGAAGTCAGTGAGGAGTTAGACATCCACACCACGGAACTTGCCCAATTCTATGTTAGAGATTTTTCCTCTACACAGAGCCTATTTTTAAAGATGCAAGTTTTTTTAATTTCTCTAAGACTTTATCTGTTTGATGCTTTCTATTTTTTAGATCTGCTTTTCATTTGAGGGTTTGCAAAGTCATGTGCTCATGATAACCAAGAGGTATAAAAGCATTTCTTGTTCCTATTTTGGTAGTAAAGCATTAAAGGTGATACAGCTTTACTAATATCATGGAGCCAACAATGGCAAAAATGTATCCTTCAGCTTCGGGCTCTTGTAGAAGGCTCTAGAAAATGACTAACGGGTATCAACCTAATATTCTGAAAAGGTATGAGAATAGTGACTAGAGGGTAATGGGGTGATTTGTACAGACTAACCATAGGCAATGCTGCCAAGAATTAGCCTCACCAAAAAAAAAAAAAAATGTAGTAAATTACATGAAGTCCAAAGACACAAAATACTGTATGTATGTTTCTACTTTTATTTGAGGTATTCTGCCTATGAAATTCAATTGGAAATGTAGGGTGAAGTTCTAGTTTCTGAAAGCTATTATTATAAACTACATGAGGAAACATAGGCTAGTGGTTATAACATTATAACAATCAAAATTATAGACATGTTAGGTTTGCTTTCCAGATCATATAGAGATATATTTTAGATAGATAGATGGTCTTCAAACTTTTCAAAGACCTATGGAATATGGCATTTAAAATGTTTTGTTAACTTACAGCTTTTCATAACAATGAGACACATCTGCTGCTAGCAGCACCAATTTACTTCAGAGATGATGGGCGTCAAAGAAACTCCTTATGGAGTTTTCATTCAATGTGGCAAGGCTAGCAAGAAGCTACCCTTGGGGGATTTGTAGTGTTCTCAGCTGAGAGCGTTGCCTTTCGGACATGATCTAGAAGAGTCTGGGTGTTGTCACACGTTAGTGGTCTTTCTAGCTTGACCTAGAGGTACAGAAAACACCTACGGGGCTTCCTGGTGGCCCAACTACTTCGAGCCGAAGCAATTCTGTACCGGAGACAATGCTACTGACGCTCTATCTTATTAGCGAAGCAGCTGCCAGTTCGAGGTTGTGTCGCGCGCTTACTCTTTCACTTGTATGGTTCTCTCTCTCCCTTAGCACTTGCACGTTTATTACTTGAACGCTTACCTCTTGGAATGAGCCGAAATAGCCTGTCTGTTCTTTCATTGTTCAGAGTCATACAGAATAAATCTAAGTTCTTCAGCAATTTTTCAGTTACTCCAGACAGCAGAAATGCTTTTTAGGTGAGGCTTGTGTGTTGGAAAATTGTCTAGCCTGGCCACTTACTGATGGTGGCGCTGTAGGCAAGCTGCTTTACTCAGACCAAATTTTACTCTTCTCAGTTGTAGAAGTGGCCTTTTGTGGGTTCAAACTTCCTAATATTGTTTCAGAAACTGGAGGGAGGAGTTAAAGAAGAAATGATCCCCCTCCCCACACTTTTCATCTGTTGTTACGTTTAAAAAGATTCATATTCATACTTGAATCATCGGGGTAATTGCCTTCTAACGAAAACATAGTTTTTCAATACCTAGTTAGTGCCTAGCAATTGGCTTAAGTGGTGACTGGAGAATCCCAAAACCTAATTTCTTTTTTTTTTTTAAGATGTACTTATTTATGTATACGAGTGATCTATTTGAATGAATGACTGCATGACAGAAGAGGTCACCAGTTTACATTAGAGATGGTTGTGAGCCACCATGTGGTTGCTGGGAATTGAACTCAGGACCTGTGGAAGAGCAGCCGGGGCTCTTAACCACTGAGCCATCTCTCCAGCCCCCAAACCTGCATTTCTCTGCCTGGTTTTGGGACTCGTTCCTCCTTTGCCCTACACTTCAGTGGCAGCTGTTAAGCAGAGACATGCACCGGTGCTTCCTTTCTGGGTGCTGTTTCTCTTTCTCATTCAATGTACAGTGGTTCACGAAAGATCCCTTGATGCTCACTTCCCTGTCCTCAAAACCAGTCAGCTGCATCCTCATACCATGCTCTCCCCACTAAAGAGTTCTTGGAATCCCTGGCTGTGCTAGCTTGCAACTGACATAAGACAGGACAGCCAGTTAAGTCATTTCACTGCACTGTGTCCCCCCCCCCCCCCGTGTGGTATCTGGCAACCCCAGCTGTCTCCCGACCTGGTGGAATGTTTCTCCACTTCCATTAGGCCTGCATATTCCTGGTCCTGTGGTAGATGAGCTCCTTGGAAGGGTTAGGAGCTCGGCTGTGGCTGCAAGTGTGTTTTCCTTACTCTCTTTCCTTCTCTTCCTGCTGTGCACAAGTAGCTGTTGCTTTCTGTACACCTACTATTTGACTATTGTCTGCCCACCAGTCATTAGCCAATGTTTACTTTGTTCCCACCGCTGTTAACGAATCTTTCATTATTTCCCTTAAAATTAAAACAACTTTTAAAAATGAAAAAAAAAAAGAAGAAGAAGAAGCTACTATTGCCTGGACTGCTTGACAATATGTTGTATAAACTGGACATGCAGGACCCACAGGAAAGTGACCATTGAACTTTGCCAAAACAAGATAGGATGGTCCTTCAACAAAAACCTAACATTACAGCACTGACAGCCAAAAGCTATCCTGCGGATCATTCAAGATGGGCAATCTGTGAGGACCTTTGCTATCAACTCATTTTACTAAATATAAACAGGTAAGTAAGTAGAGTGGCGTTAAGAAAATAACATGAGGTGAGGACTGTTCCCTCAGGATAACTGATCTGGTTTAAAGTAGGAAAGTGCTGGGTCCTTAGAGTCTCTGGTTCTCCAAGATCCTACTGCACCACATTACAGAACAGCATGACACCCTGCTAAGAT